CTTTGGAACGCCTTCCCCGCGAGGCGGTCTTGGACCCCTCGGCGGTCTTGCGCCCCTCCGAGTCTCTCGAGGGCGGAGGTCCGGAGTTTCTCCTTGTAAACGTTGTGGCGGTCCCGGGACTGGACTTCCTGGGAGGCCGTATCTTGGGCCACGACCCCCTCGGAGTTCCCCATCCGGAGGACCGGGTTACCGAGGGGTCGTGGATGAGGGGGAGGCATAATATTCTCCCCCACCTGAGGTTGGAGGGGAACCAAAGTGCCGAAGGCACCCGGGTTTTGGGTGAGCGTCTGGATGAAGGCGGAGAGCGCCGATTGCACGTCAATTGTGATGACCGGAGGGCTAATCTGATTTTCGCTCCGGTCCTTTCTCTTGGCCTCGATGTTGAGGCGGGCATCGGGGGCATTTTGTTGAATTTGCTGGCGTAGGTCGACAGCCGTCTGGTCCAACCCGGCGATGACGCCGCCCCCGGGAGCCCTGTTGGAGGCTTTGGGGACGTCGACCTCGCCGAGGGCCAGGTTCCTGTCCTCTACATTCTTCGAGTTGGCACGAGTTGTTCTCACCATTTTAGATGGGTGTTTCGTGTTTGGTCGAGGGGGGGGGGGGTTCTTACTTGATTGTTCGAGCTCTCAATGAAAGCACCAAAATGATGGATAGTGTACCTGAGGGGTAGCTTATCCGAGGGGTTATTACGGAGAGTAACTGGAGAGAAGTCGAAGCAAGTAAGTATAGAGAGAGAAAGTATATTAGGAAGTGTTCAGCGTTTTCAGCGTGGTTACAAATGGGGAAATGGGGTGCTATTTATAGTAGCAATAAATGCCAGACAGGGACACGTGTCAAGCGTCCATTGGCCGAGAGGTCACCTCAACTGGTTGGCGCTGGCAACCGCATGTGGCCGCATTTAATGCGGCTGTTGGATGGGACGTTGTACAGGATACGGTGATCTGTACGCATGTGGTGCGGATATCATGTCGGGAAAGGTGCCCTGGGCTGTAGAGGATTAGCCGAGGGCTCTGAGTACCGGGGACCCCCTTGGTGCCGAGGGCTACTGATTTTCGCCGTTTTTCCCAATACCTTTGTTTTGCTGTCTTGGCCCTCCTGTGAGAGTTAGAGCCTTCGGCTAGGGGGCCAAAGGCACCCCTGGTGCGCATCTGTGGGCTGCTTGGTATCTTGGGCGCCGTGATTTGGGACTGTTGTGCTTTCTGGGCTTGTTGGGCCTTCATTGGAGTAGTAGGAGTCTGTGGGCCGGGGGTTCCCGGGCCATATACTCCATCAGTATTGTTTTCTTGAACTTTTTTAGAAAAGTAGAATACAACTTTTATTGATAAGTGGCTCGAGGCCGAGGGTGGCGTTCGACCAACAATCCGTGGGAGGGTGAGGGCTTTGCCGGCTGCGCCGTCTCCGGATCATTAATAGAAATTCACCAAGTGATGTACATTCCACGTTCGTGGTACATTGGACCCATTCAGGTGTTTTAGCTTGTAGGCGCCGAGCTTGACTATGGCACTGACGATGTAGGGGCCTTCGTACTTGAGTGCTAGCTTGCCACCTTCCGTCGGCTTGCTCGCCTCTCTTCAGCGAAGGACATAGTCCCCCACCTAGAATTTCCGGGAACGTATCTTGGCGTCATAGTATGATTTTACTTGACGCCGATAGTTTTCTGCCCGGATGAAGGCCTGCTCTCGTCTTTCTTCAATCGGGCGGAGATCAATCTTCATGCTTTCTTCATTGGCCTCAGGCTCATAATGCTCCACCCTTCGGATGGGTATGGTGACCTCTGTGGGCGCCTTTGCTTCAAAGCCATAACAGAGGGCAAATGGTGTTTCGCCCGTTGCCCTCCTCGGCGTAGTACGGTAGCACCACATGATATTGGGGAGCTCATCGGCCCAGCTACCTCCTGCTTCCTCGAGCTTCTTCTTCAGGCCCTCCAGAATGGTTCTGTAGGCATTCTCAACCTGCCCGTTACCTTGAGGATAGGCAACAGAGGAGAAACAGTGCTTGATTCCCCATTCTCGGAGGAGCTCTTGGAAGGGTGCGGCCTCGAACTGGGTGTCGTTATCGGATATTATCTCCTGCGGGACACCGAAGCGGGTGAGGATATTCTTGTGGACGAACCTCTGACATCTGACCCCTGTAATGCTGGCCAAGGATTCCGCTTCGACCCACTTGGTGAAGTAGTCCACAACGACGATGATGTAGCGGTTGTTGCCTACGGCTCTGGGCAGGGGGCCGACCAGATCAATACCCCATCTTGAGAATGGGATCGCAGTGCTGACCGGGGTGTAGTTGACGGCTGGCCGACCAGGGGCCTTTTGAAGGACCTGGCATGCTATACACTTCCTTGTAAGGTTGGCACAGTCCCACGCCATTGTCGGCCAGAAGTAGCCCTGGACGACGAGACGTCGAGACATGCTAAAAGGACCATAATGAGAGGAGCACACACCGCAATGGACTTCCTCCATGGCCACTTCGGCCTCGTCTGGGTATAGGCAACAGAGGAGAGTGCCGTTGTAAGATCTCTTGTAAAGTTTCCCATCCTCGATGGTGTAGCTTGGGGCCATGAGTTTGGCTAGCTTGGATCTCTCCTCGTCCTGGGGCAATTCCCCTGAGGTGATGAAGGTCATGATGTCGGTGATCCAGTCCTCCGACCGATGTTGGATGCACATGATCGGGCTGGCGTGGATGCTGGACACGCTCTGCTCTTCGACCTTGGCTATCTTGGAGATGTGCTCTGGAGTGTCTGTGCTGAGCTTGAAGAGGATGTCGGCCTCAGCATTCTCCGCCATTGGGATCTCGGTGATCTCATGGGGTTCAAATGCCTTGAGCAACTCCTCTGCCGCCTGTTTGTATTTCCTCATCCTCCCTTCTTTAGCCTCGTATGAGCCCTCGATCTGGCCAACCACTAGCTTGGAGTCGCACCTGATTCTGATGTGCCGTGCTTTGAGGCTGGCGGCAAGTCTGAGGCTGCTGAGGAGGGCCTCGTACTCGGCTTCATTGTTGGATACCCTGAAGTTGAAGCAGATGGCATAGTAGGCTCTGAATCCTTCAGGGGAAATGAGGACGATGACGCCACCACAAGCTTTGGCGGCCGATGAACTGTCAGTAAAGAGAGTCCACGTTTCGTCTGGCTCCGGCTCGGGCGTGGTAGCGGCCGTCTCCCTGGCTGTGCACTCGATGACAAAATCGGCCAAGGCCTGCCCCTTGATGGATGGTCTCGGCTTGATCTCGATCTGGAACTGGATGAGGAAGATCACCCACTTCACCATCCGCGAGGAACTGTTGGGGCTCCTCATGAGTGCGCCGAGGGGTTGCTGAGTTAGGACGTGGACAACGTGGGCCTGGAAGTAGTGTCCCAGCTTCTTCACTGTATGGACGGTGGCCAGTACCGTCTTCTCAATGGGGGAGTACCTGAGCTCGGCCTCCCGCAACGTCTTGCTTACGTAGAAAATTGGATTATGTACGGAGCTGATGAACGACGTGCTCACCCCCAAGTACAAAAAGAGGGTTTCACCGGGTTTGGGTTTGGAAAGCACGGGAGGGGACGACAAGTACCGCTTTAGTTCCTCAAATGCTTGTTGGCACTCCATCGTCCATCTGAAGCCGGTTGCCTTGCGCATGATCTGAAAGAAAGGGAGAGACCTTTCATCCGAGTTTGAGAGGAAACGGTTTAGGGCCGCTAGGCGTCCCGTCAGCCGTTGTACCTCCTTCACATTCCGTGGTGGCTCCATTTCGTAATAAATGGACATCTCCCTTTGAAAATATTCCTGGCTAGCAGGGCAGTTCTAGCCCCGGTCTTCAAGCCAGTCCGCCACTACCTCGTAGCACCAGGGCCGACGGTCTTTCGCCTTGCAGCCTTCGGCTAGAAATTTCTCAATGGCGTCGTCAACAGCCTTCTCAGCAGCCCTCTCGGCGTCAGCTTGCGCTTTCGCGGCGTCCTCGGCTCGGAGCAGGGCATCTTCGTGGCTCCGCAACACCTCATCCCTTGCTCTTAAAGCATCATCCCTATCGGTCGCCACCTGACGATAGGCCACATGAGCCTCATCGACACCCTTCTGCAGCGCCTCATCCCTTGCTCTCAAAGCATCATCCCTATCGACCGCCACCTGACGATAGGCCACATCGGCCTCATCACTTGCTCTCAATGAAAGCACCAAATGATAGAGTATATATCTAGAGAGAAGTGAGAGCTAGAGAGAGAAGTGTTGTATTTGCTCTGTATTAATGAATTTCAGAACCCCTACAACTACTCGCAGAGGGTGTATTTATAGGAAAAATTAGGGCTGAGCTCCGAAGTCTTGAGCTTGGGAGGCCCATTTACAATAGGACCGTTAATGGGCCGGATACAAAGTGTATAGAAATGATTAAGTACATAATCCTATTCTGGAGGTTATTTCTGGCCGATGAGGGCATGGCCGACGAGGTTACCTGGCTCTTCCTGGCTTCTGGATCAGATTCTGAGTAGACTTCTTTCTGGCGGATGGGGTCATCTGGCCGACGAGGGTCACACCAGGTGATCATGGTACCCTCTGTTCTCCTGAGTATGTGGGCCATGGGGTCCAGACCCATATACTCCATCACTTTGACTTTGCACCTCACGTTTTAGGTGATATTGAACTTTACATCTCATTTTAATTTTTTTTTACAGTTTGCACCTCATTTACTTTAAAAAGCCTTTGACTTTGTACCCTGTTCCGAAATACTCCCTCCGTCTCGAATTGAATTGCAAACTTTGACCGGCACAAGGATTAAAGAATGACAATAAATGATGTTTGCTGTTTACACTTTTGCCCATCTTTCTAAAAGTAGATGCCTTTAAGTTAATGGGGAAAAGTAAATGTAAGAGTAAATTTGTCAATTTATTCTTATTCACATACCTAAAATAGAGAGTGAAAAATCATTTTGGGACAACCAAAAAAGAAAATTTTGCAAAACAAATTAGGAGGGAGGGAGTATTTCTTCACAAAAGATACAGTGCTAATGTTCAAACTCATTTTCTAAATGGAACGCAAAGTCCAACATGACCTATAAAAGAGTGGGTGTCAATCAAAACAAAGTTCCGTAAGCTTGAAAAGTTTATTTATAGGGCCAAGGAGGATTAATTGATCCGTGATAGTATAGCCATCATGGAATTTATTGCCCGAGACCTTATAACTTACGCGTTCTTTGCTTTTGCCGTAGCAATTGGTTGTTTTTATACTCGTATATCTTTTCACTACGTCCGTCAACGGTCAAATAAGTATGGGAAGGAGAGGTTACCGCCAGAAGCCGGCGGAGGGAGGCCTGTTTTCGGCCACCTTCACCTCTTCAAAGGCTCCGTCCCTGCACACGTGGCCCTCGGAGAATTGGCCGACAAGTACGGACCGGCGTTCACTATCCGGATCGGCTTTAAGAGAGTGTTGGTCGTCAGCAGCCGGAAATGGGCCCAAGAAATTTTCACTTCCCACGACGTCAGTGTTTCGGAGCGTCCGAGGTTTCGCGCCGCCAAACACTTGGGCTACAACTACAAGATGTTTGGCTTCTCACCGTACGGTCCTTACTGGCGAGATATTCGGAAGCTCACCACCACGCAGCTTCTCTCCCACCGGCGGCTCGAGCAGCTGAAGCACGTCAGAGCCTCCGAGGTCGATACCTCCGTCAAGGAGCTTTATGATCTTTGGAGGGAAAAGAACCCAGCCGCAGGCGGCGGAGATGGCGGCCCTGTTTTGGTGGAAATGAAGAGGTGGTTCGGAGACGTATCGATGAACGTGTTCCTTCGGATGATCGCTGGGAAGCGGTGCTTTGGCTGGGCGGCGGAGAGGAGTGATGATGATGACGGCCGCCGGTGCCAAAGGGTTTTGAGAGAGTTTCTTCACTATCTTGGGGTCGCTGTTCCGGCGGATGCCCTGCCGATCTTGGGATGGTTAGATCTAGGGGGATATGAGAAAGCCATGAAAGGAGTTGCCAAAGAAATGGACTCGCTCGTTGACCAATGGTTACAGGAACATCGCCGCCGGCTCAAAGAAGAAGCAACTGGCAGCAGCGGCGGCGAGAAAGATTTAATGGATGTCATGCTTTGTAGTGGTTACGATTCTGACGCTACAGCCATCAAATCAACTTGCATGGTACATTTCCGAACTTTTAGGAGTATTAGTTAGCAGTGAACAAAAAGAGAAAATTACCGATTTACGGAAATTTTGAGACTCGCCAAAATAAGGGACTTCGGTTTAGGTTACTCCCTCCGTCCCTAAATTATCTTCAAATTTTCCTTTTTCGTCCGTCCCAAAATTATCTCTTCTTCCCCTTTTTAGCAAAAAATTTGTGGTTCACAACCATTCTTACACATTCTTACACATTTCTCTCTCCTCTGCACAACTCTCCACCACACAAATCCCACTATCTTAATAAATGTGCCCAGCCGAAAAGGGAGAAAGATTAGGGACGGAGGGAGTATCATTTTATGGGAGTCGGATTGTCCAATTCCGACAGGAGGAAAAATAAAACCTGTAATCCGACTAGGTGTGTTCGATTTTTTTTAATGTTTCTATATAATCCGAAGGAATTAAAAATAAATAAATAAATAAATAAAAAATAAATAAAAAAAACTAGTCGGAAATGTGTAATCTGACTAGGGGTATTCAAAATTTTTTAACATTTCCATTATTTGTTTAATCCGAAGGAATTAAAAAAACAAAAAAAAAACAATTTAAAAAAAAACAAAAAAACCTAGTCGGAATTGTGTAATCCGACTAGGGGGTGTTCAAATTTTTTTTATTGTTTGCTTTGATTTGTGTTCACTCATTTTACCAAATTAAACGGAATATTGTCCCATTCAAACTCTTGAGTGTATATTTAAAAAATTTAATATATTTTGGCTGAAATAAAATGAAAAAAATACAATTTTTTCCATTATTGTAATCCTAAGCAATCAAAAAATAAAAAATATAAAAATAAAAAAACAAAAGCAAAACTCTCGGAAAGCCCACATCCGACTAGCGGATGTTTTTTAAAAAATTTATATTCGAAAAACGCAATCTATTTTGTTTTATTTTAAGAAATTTTATAAATTAAATTTTAAATATTAAATTTTATTTTAAGAAATTTATATTCGAGATAAATTTTATTTTATGTAACCCATAACTTTAGAATTATTTATTAGATAAAATTGATAATCAGATAAAATTTAATCAGATAAGTTCAATCAGATAAAATGAATCAGATAAAATTTTATCATATATAATTCAATCAAAATTCAATATATTTTGTCCAACCATATCCGTACAAAAATAAAGTGACCCAAAATCCAATACTTTATGTGTCGGATCATAAAACTTTCAATTTGACCCAATTAGGACACAATCATTTGAATTTTATGCAATCAGTCTATATCATTAACACGAGTTGTGAAATTTACCACGAGTTCCTTAATATATAGATGAAAATTTAATATTAACACTTGTGATTCACATTTTTTAGACCCGGATCATAAAAATCCCAATTCGACCTGGTAAGGATACAATCTTCGTTCTGAAATGCAATTAACATATATCATGAACACGAATTGTGAATTTGACCACGAGTTACTTAATATATAGATGAATTTTTAATATTCACACTTGTGATTCACATTTTTTAGGATACAATCATTTGAAATGTAATCAGCATATATCATGAACACGAATTGCAAAATTGACAATGGTTTACTTAACATATAGGTGAAATTTTAATATCCATACTTGTGATTCACATTTTTTAGACCTGGATCATAAACCTCCAATTTGACCCAATAAGAGCACAATCATTCGAATTTTATGCAATAAGCCTATATCATGAACACGAGTTGTGAAATTGACCACCAGTTCCTTAATATATAGATGACAATTTAATATTAACACTTGGTGATTCACATTTTTTAGACCCGGATCATAAAAACCGTAATTCAACCCAGTAGGGATACAATCATTTGAAATGTTATCAGCCTATATCATGAACACAAGTTGTAAAATTGACAATGATTTACTCAACAAATATATGGAATTTTAATATTCATACTTGTTACCCCCCTCCGGTCCTTATTAAACTTTACACTTTGACTTCACATATATTAAGGAAATAAATTTGACTTTACTGTAGAGTACACTGTTTGGCACTGTTTGACACTGTTTGGCACTGTTTGACACTGTTTGGTGTAGATTTGTTTGCCAAATAAAGCAAATAAGGAAGTGTAAAGTTTAATACGGGACTGCTAAAAAAAGGTGTAAAGTTTAATAAGGACCGGAGAGAGTATTACATTTTTTATACCTAGATCATAAAACCTCCTATTTGACCCATTAAGGGCACAATCATTCGAATTTTATGCAATCAACCTATATCATGAACACGAGTTCTGAAATTGACCACGAGTTCCTTAATATATAGATGACAATTTAATATTAACACTTGTGATTCACATTTTTTAGACACGAATCATAAAAACCCCAATATGACTCAGTAGGGGTACAATAATTTGAAATGTAATCAGCCTATATCTTGAACACGAGTTGTAAAATTGACAATGATTTACTTAACAAATAGATGGAATTTTAATATTCATACTTGTGGTTCACATTTTTTATACCTAGATCATAAAACCTCCAATTTGACCCAATAAGGGCACAATCATTCGAATTTCATGCAATCAGCCTATATCATGAACACGAGTTATGAAATTGACCACAAGTTCCTTAATATATAGATGACAATTTAATATTAACACTTGTGATTCACATTTTTTAGACTCGGATCATAAATACCCCAATTCGAACCAGTACGGATACAATCTTCTGAAATGCAATTAGCATATATTATGAACATGAATTGTGAAATTGACCACGAGTTACTTAATATATAGATGAAATTTTAATATTCACACTTGTGATTCATATTTTTAGACCCGGATCATAAATACGCCTTTTCGACCCAATATGAATACAATCATTTGAAATGTAATCAGCCTATATGATGAACACGAGTTGTAAAATTGACAATGATTTACTTAATATAATTAGATAAAATTAATGAGATAAAATATAATCAGATAAAATTGTATCAAAATAAATATAATCAGATAAAACTAATTAGATAAAATATACTACGTAATAGATAAAATATAATTAAATAAAATATAACAGATAAAATAAAATCAAATATATCAATCAAACTCCTGCAGTCGGAACTCTTAAATCCGACAGGAGTTAGTTTTTTTTCAAATAAACTTTTAAAAAAATTTGGATAAAGTTTTAAATATAAAAGTTGGACAAATTTTTAAACATTTGGATAAACTTTCGGTCAAGCCACTTTCATTTAAAGAACCCCGCCTTGTCGGAAGTGGCATATCCGACAGGAGGGGATGCATATTTTTTTTCAAACCCATCTCTCTTGTCGGAACGCGCAGTTCCGACTCTCGTTTTTTGGTAAACCCTAAACAAATCCCCGTATTTTGGCAACCCTATCCCACTTTTCCCGTATTTTGGTAAAACACCCGAACAAAAAAATGGAAAAAAATCAGGCCATATACGTAGCACTTTTTTGTGTAATAAAAAAAGAAAAAAGCAAATACGGTAGCTTTTAGCTTTTAAATATTTGATTTTATGAAAAATTGTCTATTGAAAACAGCAATACCATTGTCACCTTTTTTAACACAAAGGTGAAAATCACTTTTTTTTTGCAAACATATTCATAGTCATAGAAATATAGTATCATCTCTTCTGTTTTAATCACATGTTGAATTTTACACTATTCACATGCTCTACTTAGACTACATTTTAGTCTATAATTTTATGAAATTTTTTTTTTTAAAAAAATATTGTTCAATTCATCTTATTACAAATTTTCAATATCTGATTTTTAATATTTTTTTACTAATAGAACTAAGATATAATTACGGTAAAAAACGTGCGTTGACAAATGTGAAATGTTGACCGTTGCAACTAAAAAAGAACGGATGGGTATGTTTTTCTCAACTTAATAATAACTTAATTGAAAGAATATCATTGGGCATGATCTTTTGCCTCCAAAACCAGTAACGTGGCTTTTTCGAGGAATGGGTACCACCATGGTGATGCTATATACTGCGTAATAAAACTTACCAATTATTATAGGAAATTTATCAATAGAGGTAGAGATGAATTTTTAATGCACATTATGTCACACAGGGGCAGAGGTAGGGGCGGGTTAACCGGTCACGGTCCACCCCAAGTTTGAAAATTCTTTTTAGTTTTAATATACGTAGTAATAAATTATGTGTAAAATTGTTTTTGTAAAAATTATTTGTACCGACCCACTTCAACCTTCGATCCTGGTTACGCAATGATGTCACACATACAAAACATTTTTGTGATGCCAATACTACTCTTTAATTTTTATCATATGCTTACCTTTTCCTTTTCTCTATTAGTCTATTTATGAAATCCGGGTGGATAGATTTTTAGATTAAATTTAACCTAATTATACTATTTAAGTTTTTCTTGTGTTTGGTTGGCATTAACTAGAGAAAGTGAATTTTGGTTAATTCACATCCTAGTATTTTGAAAATGGTGTGCTGTGTACTCTTTAATCAAAATGAATAAATAAAAGGCAATTTCTATGGTACCTTGAAGGTATGGTACCTTGATGGTATGGACCAATCAAAAAATTTCAATTGAATAATTTAAATGCAAATAAAATGTAAAACTTTGAGTTGCACCAATGAAATGCATCCTAGGTATGATACCTTCCTATTTTTGTTGGGTACCATAGCAAGCACCTAAATAAAAACGTAGGGAAGTACAGAAAAACTTCCTAGCTTTACTTATTTGCAGTTTGTTTTTTTAGCAAAATTTGCAGTTTGTTTTAAAGAATGATATTTTAATACGGAGTATATGAATAGGCATTGCTTTCGGGAGGAGCGGATACGACCATGGTCATGCTTACATGGGCTATGTCGTTAATAATGAACAACCCTCACGTGTTAAAAACAGCACAGGAAGAGCTAGACAAGGTTGTTGGCAAGGAAAGAAGGGTTTACGAATCAGACATGAATAATTTGGTATATCTCCAAGCCATAGTCAAAGAAACTTTAAGATTGTACCCTGGTGGGCCCCTAGGAGGGCCAAGGTTGTTCAGAGAGGATTGTTCCATACAAGGTTTTCATGTCCCAAAAGGCACTTGGCTTTATATAAATGTTTGGAAGCTCCAACGGGACCCACATGTTTGGTTTGATCCTGATGAGTTCAAACCAGAGAGGTTTGTTCTCAACAATAATAGTCACAAGTGGAACAATGATTTCGAGTTGTTCGCGTTTGGTGCAGGTAGAAAAGTGTGCCCAGGCATTACAGTTGGTCTGTTGATGTTGCATTTGGTGTTGGCTAATCTGTTGCATTTGTTTGATCTCTCAACAGATGCTCCAATTGACATGAGTGAGAGTTTTGGACTAACAAACCTTAAAGCTACTCCCCTTGAGATTTTCATTTCTCCACGCCTCTCTTCTTCTTTGTATTAGTCATTAGCATGACACTATCCCCGCTAGTATCCATAACTAAACCTGAATAAAAATATTTCTTTTTTATTTGAATAATCATGAATAATGCTATTGTCACGCCCCAGACCGCATCTGAACGCATGTATGATCAAGTGACGTCACTCGCAAGTCACTCTCACTTAATCATACAAGGCGTTCATGAACATAGTTCATACCATACTCAGTAAGTAAACATACATGTCAACATCACATTTAAGCAAATGAAAAGTGGAAATGTTCAACGATAAGTCATGGGCCACATGCGGCCAAAACATACGCTCGCAGCCCCAAAATACTTTATAATAATTCAAATATCCATGAGCAAGTGGTTATAGTTTCAAAAGTAATAAGGAAGCACGAACCATGTATGTGGGAGGTCATCCCAATATGTTCCGAAGTGTCCACTCGACCCCAAAAGTTTTATGTCTCGCGACAGCGGGTAATGCTGTATTCATCAGATAAGACAATTTGCATGTGGAAGAAAGAAGGGTTGGTCCACACTTGCCTATCTATCTTGACGGGCCATAGAAGGCCCGTCAAGTGTTTAGTGGTGACGGAGGATAAGGAATCGAGCTAGAGTGATCAAAGGTGGATTGTAATTTACGGTGGGAGCCTTGACAAGCCAGTAAAAGTGTGGAGTGTCTCGGAAATGTCATTGTATATGCCGCTACACCCCAATGCAGACTCCGCTTGGGATTCCATTCCATCCATCTGCCATGTATGGATCCATTTGATTATATTTATCATCACATTTGAGTGAACAACTAAATAGATGGATGACTTGTTAGACGAGTAAACTTGACCCTTCCATAGAGTGAGTGATAGAGTATATAGACTCGGACCCCCGGGTCTCACGACTATTGGGCCTGGACAGCGGCCCACGTACACTCAGTTGATAGCATTTTCATTATTGTACATTATTATTATTCAGGTGTTCTAGATTAGACTTTTATATTATCAGTCCATTTATGTAACCGGGTCTGTCAGGACCATATTAGAGGCCAGACCCGGATTTCTTCTATATATACTCCTTTTGGAGCTTGTAAACCCTAACTCTAATTCACATTACTACTCATTCATCTTCTTCCTCACATTAGCTCAAATCTCTCCATTTTGTTATAGTTTGGATACCCCTATAATCCATCAGTGAGATTATTATTTTGGAGTATAACCTTACTTATTGTTGGGTAAGCTAAGGATGGTTGGAATGTTCTTATGATTGGTATTAATAGATATGTATGTTGTTTAATTTTGTAAACTGATATATGGCTTATGGCTACTAGTTATTGAGTTCCTGCTTATGAAAATACAACATTATGTTATGTACTATTTGCAAGTTTATGTCCATGTCTCTATAAGATACGGAGTAATCATTTTTTGTTACTAAAATGAACTTCTAGCCATCGAGAGCAATACTCCGTACTAAGTGCGAGTAACTAATAATAGTTCTCTCCATATATAGTGATAATACTGCTGTTCCAACACACATGGCGAAGCTAACACATCTGAAATCACAAATAGGCCAAAATCTGAACCCTGTGAGTAACAGCCACAACACTGACAACCAGATTAGAATGGAGCCTCAAATGGAGTGGAGAAGCTAGCTAAAAAATTGGTAGAATGTGAGTGTAATTCAATGAGTGATCATCCACCCTCAATTTCAATTTACTTGAGATAACAGAATTCTTGCTCCTCGTGATTCTCTTTATCTTCTATAATTGAAAATTAAATTTTAAATTAAAATTTTAATCTTTCGAATATTCAACGTTCTTCGTCGAATCTCCAAACGTTTTTGAATATATAATTCTTTTTTAGGGCTTCGAGTTTTCAAGTAATTTGATCTTTATTAAAAGAGTCGTTTTTGCTAGCTTAATCTTCTGTTAAAGGGCTTCCACAGGATAAATGATTTGATATTCAATTAAATCTAAATTCAATATTGATATCCATATCTTCAAATCTTCATAGACTTGTTTTTCAGATCATTGAATCTTCAAATTAAATTAAAGCCTTGTTCATCAGATTTTTGAATCTTCAAAGCTCAATTCTTCGAATCTTCAGACGTTCTTCATATCCTTGATTCATTTAATCAATAACGGACGAAATCACAACAAATATATTCTCATATATAGTAAATATTACACATATAGTATGTTGTAAAATTTAATATTTTTAGTTTAATATATGAAATTTTGATATTTTAGCCATGATATTTCCGATTTTATGAACACTCGGTATTATACTTTACATCACAGTGATCCGATTAGACAGATAAATACTTTTTTGAAAATATTTTTAACAAAGAACATTTTCATATCATTTTCATATTATCAATAATACAGTGTGTTTATATATAATTGATCAAAATTTAACATCACTAACTTAAAAGGTACTCCATATTTGACAGGCCTTATATCATAGAATCGGCTTAACAATGGGGCGCAATTGCAGCACATGGTGTGAGGAAGAAGATTGTACTATTCACTTGAATAGTAAAAGAACGAAGCTCGATCGTGTAGTGGCGGATCCAGGAAGTTTATCTCTCGTGGGCCATAAGTTCAAACTTAACTTTCCTAAATATTTAAGTTGGGAGAACTGTAAAAAAAGCCCTTGAACATTCATAAAAAGAGCAAATAATCCCTTTTATAGGAGGCTCTGTCTGGCCGTCGCCATTTGAGACGGTTTACGGTGGAATTTTTTGATGATTTTTTTGGATCATATTCTTTATTAAGTCTAGTTTACTCATACCAAATTTCAGCTAAAAATTCAATCGAGAAGGCATTCAAATGATTTTCGAAATATACTGCGATGTCTAACTGCACAGTTATCTTCAAAAATTCATTTGATTGCCTTCCGATTGAACTTTTAGCTGAAATTTGGTAATGAAAAAAATCCTTAAAAAGAATCATCAAAAAATTCCACCGAAAACCGCCCTAAATGGCGACGGTTGGAAAGAGCCTCATATAAAAGGGTTTATTTGCTCTTTTTATGAAAGTACGACGTCATATTTGATTGTTCTTCCTATTTAAGTTTTATAATGAATCCACAAATTAGTGTGAAGTAGGCATAAGAAAAAATCAAGAGGACAAAATTAATCCTTCAACAAAATTATTCCAAATTAATACCTTAACATTGTGCTCATGCATGGTTCCTTCAACAAAAAAATCCCTAGCCACAATCTATGATTAAAGTGGATCTCGATATCAAATTATGCTTCTTCATCTTTCACATTATCTTAACATATTAAATAAATTTGAGAAAACATCTTTTGTGATAGAAAGTAATCACAATCCCAAACCGATATACATAGGAGTAAATCAAAACCACATCATTTTCTCTTTTCCGTTTAACTTAGTTTGACACACATATTAATAAAGTCAGAGTAAAGTGAAAATGTATACTCATAATTGTGGAAGAAAAAAAGTAAATGAATGTTGCAAACGTAAATCACTGCGTAATAGAAAATTGGATAACTTTTCGGGACATTGAGAAGGTAAATGTGATGATGCCGATGAGAGTAGCGGTAAACTTGCATTCTCATAAATTAAAAGAAGAGAGTATGCGTTTTTGAGTTTTCACCCAAGTCGGAGTTTCTGCGTTCAACCTTCGCTTTTTCGTTCTCTGAGTTCTTAATTCAACTTGACAAAGTAGCAACAATCAACACAAACGGATTGCTTAATTAATTGGATTTCTCATTTTCTATTTTCACCCTCAATAAATTTGTAATTAAAATTTGGGGGCACATGAAGTTTATTTGTCTGGGGGGGCTTTTTTTAATACACCGAAGTACTTTTATATGTATGTAATTTAAAAAAAAATATATTTTTCTTGGAGGGCCATGGGCCTTAAGTCCTCAACTACGGTACTCCAGCCGTGGATTGTCTTGTCTTATAGGCTACGGATGTTTTTTCTTTTAGACTTTGTTCAGTTCGAGATCATATTAGATTTAAATCACATCATACTTTCGTAGTTACAAAATACACAGAGATCAGACATTTACAGATCAAATCGGTCGAAATGAGTCAATGACTTGCTATTTTGTAAGTTGGGCCGGTGGGATAGCTGGCTGCCGGAGTTGCTGCATCCAAGACCAGGAGATGGTTGGCCAGTGGGGTGAAGCGCAATTCAATTTATTTACTAGTATTTTTTTTTGAATTATTTTTAGCCAACCCAGCCACCAAGTGAAGGATCTGTATTAGCCAACCAACCATTCCAGCTCACTGGGTGGAAGGTTACCGTGTCCTAGCGGAGGTCTCGAGTTCGAATCCCGCTAGGCACATTTAGGGGAGAGGAGGGAGGTCTTGCTCCCAATGATTCTTCCTACCTTCACGGAGTTGCTCAGCGGCTGAGAAGGGAGAGGATAGTAATGAAGGTAGCGGGTTCGTGTGGTGGGAGGAGCAGCCTGAAAGGTGATGTAAGTCTTGCTGGATTCGTCCTTTGGAGTCAGTATTGACGAGACTGACTGTGATCAGATCCGGACTTAACTGTCTAGGGGCTTTGGAGGGTAGTTCACTCTAGGATTATAGGAGCGTAAGCCCCGACACCCGGATTATAAAAAAAAGGATCTGTATTAGCCGTCATTTCAAAATTCAAATAGTGTTTGGTGGGCAAAGTTGGAGACACTCCAATATTTTGCCGAAACTCATACTGGCACCATGACTATTTAAATGGTATAATTTTATTTTAGATCTAGAGTCATTCTGTATCACTTTTAATGATATTACATCATATTATATCAACGTCAAATAATGTCAGTTTTTATAATAGTAATTGTTAAAAAGGAAATCAAAGTTCATCATATAATTTTCAAATTACATAAATAATATTATTAATTAGGATGCCTTTTAGTAGTACAATAGGTTATTTAGACATAAGATACAACATGCTCTCACCTTGTATCAATTTCCTCCTAACATCATTTGATCTCAAATAAAAGAAAATCATTATGTTAAATAAAATAACTTAAGAAAACTCAAATAGCTTCACAAACTTAGAATTGCGGTAATCAAGCTGCACCACCTAACAATGATGGTCCTAATACAGAGTACCAGAAAGAGTATTGTTGATACAATCTATGAATTTGAAATATCTTTTTATCTCCATTGGTAGCTAAACATTCAAGTTTCACATTTGCCAATTTAACAATGAAATTAAAGAGTTTAAAGCACAACCAATTAAGGACTATCGAAGCTAAAAAGTAATAACCAAGTTGAGTGCAATAACAGTGATCAGTGAGTTCTACCAAAAAATTTCGTTATAGCCACGGAAGTTTGGCACGGATAAAGTCCGTACCAAATTCGTCTCGGTTGTTGGCTCGTAACAGCTAAACTTTCGAACTAGTTAAGAAAAATTTCAAACTATGTATATCCAATTCGGTATCATACTGGTTGAGTTTGATACCACGCCAATTTAATTGTTTTTACGTCCCTAGTTTCTTAGTTTTGTTCGATCTGTGAATTCACATTGATATCACACGACAGTACAATAAGGTTCCAAAAATTGACTTTGGTATTTACTTTTATTGGTTATATGTTAGGCATAAAATTAGGTCACCTCCCAAGTACTAAGTCGTCATTGTTTTCATCTCTGCAATACTTCAAAACAAGTAGACAAGCTAATTATTGTAATCAAATTATATTTTTTTTATACACATATTACCACCCAATTGTTACCAAATGAAAGCTATTGTTATACTCATTCATTCAAAACTCAACCACATTATTTTTACTTTTTCTCTTTGTCATCATATCTGATTCAAAATTTGTAATGTCCAACCGTGCGCAACCGAGGTAATATAACTTTACGCTACACAAAGTACTTGTGTGATCATTTATGATGTTGTAATGAACGGAGTGTAATTTTATTAACATTTATATGTTGTAAGTTAATTATATTGTATAATGATAGTTTGTAGGAAAGTGAAAATGAAAATCATATGAAAAACAATTTTGTCTCTTATGACTTCATAAAGGGGATGGATTAGATGCACTCCAATTTTGTTCATATCTATAAAAACTTCGCGTCTTCGCCTAAGAGCAAGTTTAGTGATCATATTTTTTGGCTTATCAGCCTTATCAATCAACTCTTTCATCAAACACGTAATCTTTTATTTTGCTCACTGAATTATATAATAATCAAATAATTAAGATT